GACCATTATTTTCAGAAAATTTTTTACTATTTTTTACAACCATTTGTTTAAAAAATCCGTCCCTACAAAAGTTAACCCTCCCTTGTCAGCAGCCTCAGCTGACCAACCTCAACAGTCAACTCAGCTCTTCTTTGGCAGAACTCCCAAACAGTTGATCATCACCATCAGTCCATCTTCAGTATTACCACCACCACCACCGTCATCACTTCAAAAACCACGATGTTCAGCATCATCAGCACCTTCACCCAAACCGCCCAGTACTGCCTGACGGACTTCTGGACCGAGGTGGGCGACCCTCGAAGCGGCCGCATGCCGCTGATGGGCACCTTCGCCTGGCCACTGGCCATCTCCTCCGCCTACCTCCTCTTTTCCCTTCGCCTGGGGCCGGCGCTGATGAAAGATCGCCCGCCCCTCTCCCTGAAGTGGCTCCTAGTGCCCTACAACCTCGCCATGTCCGCCCTCAACGCCGCCTTCTTCCTGCGCGTCTTCCTCAACTACGACTACGGCCTCGGTCTGCTGGAGTTCGACTGGAAGGACACCGGCGACACCAGCCCCCAGGCGATGACCACCCTCGCCTGGGCGTGGCTCTTCATGGCCAGCAAGTACGTCGACATGCTCGACACGGTGTTCTTTGTGCTGCGCAAGAAGGACAGTCAAATTACGGGTGAGAAGTTTCATTAGCTTTTTAGAACTTCTTTTGACCTTTCTTGATCGTTTCTAAAACTCCTTAAACTCCACAGGTCTTCACGTGTACCACCACTGCTCGGTGCCGGTCCTCTCCTGGATCTACCTGCGCACCAACGTCGTCCACGTCACCGCCTACGCCTTCTGCTTCTTCAACGCACCCGTTCACACCGTAAGCATTTCACTAGTTTTGTTCTTCAAAGTCCTCACATGTTGTTCTCCTCCTTTCCCAGATCATGTACGCCTACTACGGCCTGGCCGCCCTCGGCCCGCACATGCAGCCCTACCTCTGGTGGAAGCGGTACATCACCCAAGTGCAGCTGGTCCAATTCGCCCTGCTCTTCACCTACGGCCTCTACTTTTCGCTGTACCAGACCGAGTACCACTGGTTCTTCAGCTTGGACATTCCCCTGCAGTCGGTGCTCTACCTCTACCTCTTCACCTCCTTCTACCTGAAGACCTACTCACAGCAGAAGAAGGCCGAATAAAGTGAAGATAAATTGAACTTAACAAAACCCACCAAAGTTGGCCACTGATCGACTGATCGATTGACATTGTGTTTACATTCCTTTGTTTTTAGCAGCACGTCCTCTGTGTGGAGGACTAATATTCTTCAGTGACATTTGACTCCTTGATTGAAAAATGAATTTTCTTGACCTTGTTTGATCGCATCACATTACTAACTATCTTTTCTTGTTTTGCTAATGAGCTTTCGCTGAGCAGTCGTCGCAGAACAGCCAGCTACCCTCCTCCTAAGTGGCCTAATTAGCCAGGGCAATTAAGTACTGCTAAATGGGGATCACGTAATCATCCCTCATACTTTTTACCTGCGTCACAAATCACTTCAATCAAAAGCGTGTGATCAATCAGCATTAGCAGTAGTTGGTCAGCAGCGGCGGCGGCAGTTATGAAATTCCCATACAAAGCTCAAAAATGTTAGGCAACTTCTTCTTCTTCATCTTCTTCAGCTTGAAACAAGTTTACAGTTTGGCAGTGAAAGTTGCTGCTGCTGCTGCCGTTGCTCACGGTTCCGGGAAATGCCCCAGATCGAAGCGAGAGAAAGAAAAGCTCACACTTTCTACTTTTATTGCACTCTTAGAGGACAACTTTGTGTGTGTGTGTTAGTCAAGTCACACTTTTCTCACTTTCGATATATTCCAAACCACAGTGGTAAAAGAGCAGAGGTGTGAACTGAAAGTTTTGGTTTGACACGAAAAGTGCAAAAATGGCAGCCAACTTCACCTTTACCTTCACCTTCACCATCACTGATCGGTCAACATTCGAACGACAACTACGTTTTCAATCTTTTTTGGTCAGTTAATTGTCAATACTTTTAGACTTTGAAAAATGACGAAAACCACCAAAAGAAAATGACGATGATGATTACGCTCTCCTCATTACCAGACAATTACAAAGCAATTTGAAAGCAGCCTTGAAAACAGTCTCTCTTCGATCTGATCAGATATCTGGTCAGAACTGGACAGAAAAGAAAACGAAGTAAGCATATAAAAGTATCTACCAAAACGGGTAGACATTTCTTCTTCTTTCAAGTGATCCGTTTCTATTTATCAACAACAACAACATCAGCAGCAGCAAATCATGTCCTCCACCACCACCACCACCAAAGTTCTTATCCACGACCTCCAGGAACCTCGAAATTCCCTCTTCTCCCTTCTTCAGTACTACCTAACCGACTTCTGGGCGGAGGTAGGCGATCCTCGAGTGGGGGAACTGCCCTTCATGGGCACCTTCGCCCTCCCACTCGCCATCTACTTCAGCTACTTTCTCTTTGTTCTGGTTCTGGGCCCTAATTTTATGCGCCACCGCCGCCCCCTTTCCCTGAAGTGGACCCTAGTGGGCTACAACCTGACGATGGCCCTCTTCAACCTGGCCGTCTTCGTGAAGGTCCTGCTGGGCAACAACTTTGGTCGGCGGATGTTGGAGCTCGACTGGAAGGACCGGACCGACCGGAGTGAGCATGCGCTCTCCGCTCGCCGCTGGGCGTGGCTGTACATGCTCAGCAAGTACGTGGACATGCTCGATACGGTGTTCTTTGTGCTGCGAAAGAAGGAGAGTCAGATTACGGGTAGGTGACATTTTTTAAGACTTCTTTGACCTTCTAAAACTTCCAAACTCCAAACTTTCAGGTCTTCACGTGTACCACCACTCGACAGTGCCCACCTTTGGCTGGATCTACTTTCGCTCCAACGTCTTCCACGTCACCGCCTACGCCTTCTGCCTGCTCAACACGCCCGTCCACACTGTGAGGAGATTTTAAAGGATTTTGTTGTTTCGAAATCCTAATCAACACTTTTACTTTCCAGATCATGTACGCCTACTACGGCCTGGCCGCCCTCGGCCCCCAAATGCAGCCCTTCCTCTGGTGGAAGCGGTACATCACCCAGCTGCAGATTGTCCAGTTCGTGCTCCTCTTCGCCCACGGCCTCTACTTCTGCCTCTTCCAGACCGGCTACCACTGGTTCTTCAGCGTGGACATCCTCTGGCAGACCGGCCTCTACCTCTACCTCTTCACCGCCTTCTACCTGCGCACGTACAAGGTCGGCGAGCTGAAGAGAAGGCTCAGTTTGGTGGTCCAGCAACAGAATGGAAATGGAAAGAAGGTCGAGTAGCAAACACACACACACACACACAAGCACATCACTTAAAATGTACTAATATCCAAACAAAGGCAGCCTTCTTCTTTTGTTTCAGTACATGTTACTGTAGAGGGAGGGCGATTTGGGATTGGAGATGCCGCTGTTTAGCCGGCTAAAAGCGCTGCCCGGCGGCCCGGAGATGCCGCCCGGGCTGAGCAGCGGCGCCGTCGAGTCGTAGGAGTTGAAGGAGGGCAGCTGCCGGAGCTGGTACTGCTGCTGCTGAGGAGGTAGCTCCGGTGGCGGCGGTGGCAGTGTAAAGCCGGGCCCCGGAGACAGAGCCCGAGCATCGTAGTCACCGAAGTTAGAGCTGGGCGGCGGAGGGCTAAGCAGGCCGTTCATGATGGACGTACCGCTGCTGGCCTTGGTCAGTCTCGGCCGGGCGCTGTTGACAGTGTTGGCCTCCCCAGCGGAGTTTGGACTTTGAGGAGTTGTTGGGGCAATGTTGGAGCTCGACTGGGACTGGTAAACGGGCCGAGAGGAGCTGCCACCGGTACAGATGCGCACCACCTCCAGCCAGATGAGCTTGCCGATGGAGTCCTGTGAAAGGGGAAAAAAAGGTTTTGATGGAAAAGTTTCGAAATTCGAACCCATTTCACCGGCTTAGGTCTTACCCGCTCATGCCTCGCCACCTTCAGGCTCTTCCAGATGAACTCGAGGGCGCCGAAGAAGCAGCCGGCGACGACGCCCGCCACCAGCACCACAAAGACGCCGCCCACGTTCTCGATGTTCAGCTCCTGACTGGAGGGCGGCGACTCGGGGCACTGGCCGCCGCCGTCCTCGATCCACCACTTCTTCTTCAGCTGGTACAGCTGCCCCTGGTCCTGCAGGACGACGATGGCGTTCGAAATGGGCGTCCGGTAGGGCGAGTCGCTGGGCGTCGCAATGCCGTAGCCCTTGTTGTCCAGCCAGTTGCCCACCTGGTAGACGTCGCAGACGCGCTCCTTCTTGTATTCGATGGTGCTGGACTCGGCGAGGTAGGCGTAGCCGCCCTTACGCACCCGATCGGTCGCCTTCTCGAAGTCGTCGATGTAGACCTCCTGAATGGGGAGAAAGTGAGGGTTAGGCTGAAATAGAAATAGAACATCGGAGATCTTCATCAATTCTTTGCCTTGTGCGCCTCCATGGTGTTGTACATCCGCTGGTAGATGCTCAGGTTGGAGTGCTTAAAGAAGTCATGCGTGCTGCCCGTCTCCTTGCAGCCGTAGTGGATCTTTGTCTGCTTCGCCAAGTCCTCGACGTTGTTGATGGCGGGCGCCATGCGGCTCAGCGTCAGTGAGGCGGCCAGGTTGGCCGTGTAGCTGCTGATCATGATCATGGTGAAGAACCACCAGACGGCGGCGAGGGTGCGCGTGGAGAGCGCCCGCGGGGCGAGGTCGCTGCCCTGCTGCATCAGTGAGCCCTTGAAGAAACAAAAAATTAGAAAATCAAACCCAAAACTTTTTTCTCCCACTCCTTAATTTTGCCTATTTCCACCCAAGCCTAAACCCCTTTTTGAAAAGGTAAACAAACCCAAAAAGATGATCATCCCCAACTTACAATGGTAAACCAAAGGCTATTCCCAATGCTAAACTGGTTCTCTAGCAGCAGCGGCTCAGGGTCGCAGGCGTGCGGCGACACCCACTCGTAGGGGCTGATCCGTGCCATCAGCCAGAGAATGATGCTGACGGCGAGGAAGGCGCTGCCCAGGTACAGCCACACCTCCACGCTGAGCGGCTTGAGAAAGCTGAACAGTTCCGGCTCCTCGTTGGGCGTCTTCTTGAACAGTATGGTAATGCCCAGGTTCATGAAGGGCATCGTAAAGTCCACCACCTGCTCACGGGCGTAGGTGGCCGTCAGGTCGGAGATGGCCAGGTCGGCCTGGTGGCGCATCAACTCGCCGATCATGCCGTTCCACTCGCCGTTGCCCTGGTCCTTCCCCGTGCCCATCCCGTCGGCCGGCAGGCGAATGGTGTACTTGAAGGAGGAGTTGAAGTTCTTCTCGAGCACCTCGGCGATCTTCTGCAGCAGCTCAATGCAGTAGCCGTCGTACTTGTCGTTACCGACCCGCTTCTCGTGGTCGGGCTTGAAGAAGACGTAGGGAATGTTCTGTGCCAAAAACAAAACGAGTTAAAATAGGCACAAAATGGTTTCAAGGGGACAGTGCGCGCGGTGTTTACCTTGGCGTTCGACGTGAGCACCACCAGCTCCTTGGTTCGCATCGCCACCAGCACCTGATTGTAGGAGTCGGTGAAGGAGTAGTTGCCCTTGGCGGTGATGCCCCTCTGCTCCGTCCAGGTGGCCACCTAGGTGAAAGGGGGGAAAAAGCTGGTTTGAACACCAGAAAGGTTGTAGCCGATTTGACGAGAGCACTCTCTTACATTCTTCAGGCCGGCGTGCGGCTTCAGCTGCAGCACATCGACGGTAAAGTTGACGCGGTGGCCGCTCCGGTCAAAGGCAATCGGCCCCGAGAGGCCTTCGAGCTTCGTCTGCAAGGAGGAAAAAATTGAGAGGGTGAAGCCTTCTTCGCCTTTTTCGAAATGATCATCACCATAAGCTACCTCTTTCATGTGTCGCATGATGGTCGCGCCAAAGTGCCACTTTGACCGCCCACCACCACCACCACCGCCGCCGCCACTATTTCCACCTCCCCCAACTCCATCGCAGCTGACGTACGGCTCGGTAATGTCCTCCGGCTCCAGGCGGCGGTCCAGCTCGTTGATGGTGTTCGCAAAGACGGTCACTGCGTCGTGGATCAGGCCTTCAATGGTCTGCCAAAAAAGTGGAACTAAAAGTTATCGAAAACTCTTTAAAACAGTACTCACCCCGATCTGAGGAACCGAGCTTGAGTTAGCTGCTTCTTCTCCGTTTCCTCCTCCTCCTCCTCCTCGATTCTGTTTACCGTAGTACTGACTCCGATAGGCGTGCACCTTTCCCTGCGCGAGGTAGTCCGGCGGCGAGGAGGAGAGCACCGACAGGCCGGTAATGTTGGCAATGACGTCCTGCTTCTGAAACTCCCGCAGGTCCATCAGGTGAAAGTCCTAAACAGTGTCAAGAAATTCCGTCAACTCTTTGAAAACTTGCAAAAAAAGAACACTCACCACCGAGGCGATGAGAAAGTTGTCGTACTCGCTCATGCGATTCGAGCGCAACGCCTCGCGCAGAAAGTTGAGCGACTTCTCCGCGCTGAGAAAGAGCACAAAGTTGTGCTCGCTCTTCTTGATGTTCTTCAGCAGCTTCTTGTAGGTGACGTCGTTGTAGCCACTGTTGCCGCTATTTCCACCTCCTCCACTTCCTTTGAAGTTCGGGAGTTCATGATAAGAAGAAGAGGAGCTTCGTTCCTCTAAAGGCGTCACCGCCTCCTCAGGCGGGAAGGCAATGACCGTCACTTTGACGTTTCGATCCGCCACCTCGGCGGTGATTCGCAGCAGGTCCTTCATTGCAATCAGTCCATCAAAGCGGTCGTAGATCATCGTAAAGGACTTCCAGTTTCGGGTGACGACCAGGTCGAGGAAGGCGCGGCTGAGGGAGTTGGCGTCCGGGTACAGCCGAAGCGTGTACTGCTGATACTGGGCCTCCTCATTGAACAGCTGCTGTTGTTGTTGCTGAGCATTTTGCTGGTATGTTTGCCTCGAGGAGTAGTAAGGCGGTCGGCTGAAGGCACTTCGATTGGAGGGCTGAAAGTTGTCCAGATTCCACTTGAACATCGCCGCGTCGCTGTTGGTGATGTAGTGGTTCTCCTTGTAAAAAGGGCTACCACTACTTCCAAAGCCGCCGTCGCCTCCGTTGGGTGAAAAGGTCGTGCTGGCCAGGTTGGCGTCATTCTCCTTCGCGGGGTGGTTCACATTGAACATGAAGCGACTGCGGAAGTTCCAGTTGACGGAGAGGTGAGGAATTTGGAGCTCATTTGCCACCGTGTGGACAAACCAGTCCAAAGGCTCGGAGCGTGAGCTAAAGATCGCCCAGACGTTGTTCTGGAGCAGGCGGCAGACTGATGGGGTAGAGTGGAAATAGAAATCGAACTGATTAGAAAAGTCCTAGAATCGAAAGCCAAAAACTTACCCAACTTTGCCCCGCTGAAGCTGTCCCGCGGCTCCACGGTGAAGGCGGTGACGGAGAGATTGGTCTTCGGGAGGAGGATCTTGTCGCGGTTCACCTGGGCGACGGCCTCGAATAGAGCGGTGCGCAGGTGATCGTCGCCCGCCTCAAAGATCGCCCCCAGTTGGATCTCCAGCGGAAGGGAGGTCCGCGCTTGGGCGACATTGGGCTGAAGAGTGGTCACCAGGAGGATGAGGATGATCGTCAGGAGGAGGAGGCGGCGGATGAAGGTGGTGATGGAGGATGACTGCTGAGGGTGATGAGGGTGAAGGTGGAACATCGCTGATGAAGACCGAAGACAAAAGGGTGAAAAAGTTTGGGCTGTTCACGGAGCTGCGAGTTCCATTGAGATTGAGAGGATTTCTTTCTGTTGTCGGTACGACGCAGAAAATGTTTGTACAATCGGCAATTGACTGACTGGTGGAACTATTTGCGACTTGTGTTTGCAATTTTAAAACCGTTTTAAAATCTCCTCGTCTTCGACAATAAAAACACGAGTGTTTGGGTGTTGTGTAGATGATTGACTTGGATTTAGGTCGGTCTGCAGTGACTGTCTGTCTGAGTGAGTGAGTGAGTGAGTGAATGAATGGAGCGGATTCTCAACTTGGGATGCACTCTCTCAGAAGAAGAAGGGAAGCATTTATTTATAGAAACGCCGCCAGTGATATTCTCTTCGGTGAGTGTGACTCGCCGGAGAGACATTTTCTTCTCTCGTCGTCGTCGTTTAGCAATCAGAACAGCTGGCAATGGCTCAAGATTCTTGTGAATCAACCAAGTAATGATGATGATGATGAAGGGAAGGGGAGACAAGTAAGGGAGAGGATAATAGAAAGAGGAAGATACTAAAGTGGCCATTGAGGAGGCATTGTCGTGAGGACAATTCCCTTAAAAGAGTGCGCATTTCCGGCTCAAAAAACTCCGATATTTTCCAGCAAAAAAGAGAGTCGGAAAAAAGAGCGCCATAAAATAAAGTCAGCTGATCTGATTTTTTTGGCGGCAAAAAGTGGGAAACTTTTCTACAACAAAAAGACCGCAAAGATTTTATCGGAAAACTTCTCACTTTTAGGGTCATTTCAAAATTCAAATCACACATTTCTCTTTTTCCTCATCCTCTTCTTCGTTTTCGATGACCACCGTTATCGTCTGCTGATATCTCAGGCCACTACGAAGACGACTACAACCACCACCACTATCACCCCGGTGTTACCACTACCACCACAACCGCTGCTCACATAATCCTCTCTCTTTCAGTTACGTAAACACTCTGCCGCCGCCGCAACTTTGATCGTCTGCAGCAACAGCAGTAGATTGCTTCGTAGCTGGCGGCCGCTCAATGACGCCCTGCTGCTACCACCACCACCACCACTATCTTTAAAAGAGAAAGAAGAGACGAGTGTACTGCTGCCGTATCGATGCCGCAACAGAAGAGAGAGAGAGCAAAGCGACGACAAGCACAGCAAAGGCAAAAGAAGGAAGAGAGCTGGAGCGAGGATGTTTTGGTGTGTGTGTTGTGGATAGAGAGAACGGCTCCTCGGCATCCACAACTGTTGCTCCTTTTGCTCTACTCAGGCTGTGATTTACCATCCCCGACGGATCAGCTGAGAATACCACGTACAACATTCTCTCACAATTCTCTCAATGATCAACTCAATGCAACTGAAGAAGCGAATCTAACGTTGGTGGTGATCAGAAATCTACTACCAATAAAAGAGAATGATGCTCACCAATGAACGCGAGCCAGCGGACGGCTGTGACGGCTACGATGGCTCCTCCAATTCCACCAACAACAATTCGAACTCCAACTCCATCTCCAACAGATCATCTCGGACGCGAGGAGACGGCGCCGAGTCGCCGAACCGCTTCACCGACGGCGGCGGCCAAAGCCACCATCACCAGCACCAGAACTTGCAGCAAAGCTCGCGGAGAAGGCGCAGCTCGCCGGCGATGAATTCAAATTCGAACTCCAACAACTCCAACAACCACAGCCACAACAGCAGCAGCAGCAAAGCAGGCAGCCCCAGCGACTCCACGGAAGACCTGAGCAGCCTCCGCTGTTCCAGCCTCCAAATGGAGGCCGTCCAGAAGAAACAACAGCAACAACAAGCCAGAGGCAACCGCCAGCCCACCGCCGGCTACCCGGGCCTCGCCTTCGGCTCGCCCATGTTCAGCAACACCATCTTCAAGTTCAATCTAATAGCAAATGAACTCCGCGACCTGAAGGTCAACCAGCTGAAGCGGGCCGAGGGCGAGGTGGAGACGCTGCATCGGCGCCTCGAGGCCATCGAGGCGCACCTGGAGCGCGGCCGCGAATCGCTTCGCCTCACCGGCGCCCAGCTCGAGGAGGCCCACCAGGAGGCGGTGGCCGACGAGCGGCTACGGGAGCAGCTCGAGGACGTTCGATGCTCCGACCTGGAGGCCTGCAATGATTCCTCCTCCTCTTCCTCCTCCACCACTACGTCCACTTCAACTGCTTCCTCGTCGAAGCAGCTCGAAGCGGCCGAGGACGACCGAATTAGCTTTCTGCAGGCGCAGCTGGCCGCCGCCCGGCGCATTGCCGAGGAGTCGGAGCGGAAGATGGCCGAGGCGAGGGCGATGGTGATAGCTAAAGGAGGTACAGGTGCTACCACAAACTCCACCGCTTGATGATCAACCTCGATGATGATATTTTTAGTGCCAAGAAGAGCTGTGCCTTTGATTTAATTTGATGTCTTTGACTTTGACTTTTCTGCTTTTACCCTCACTTTTATTTCTGATGGCTTTTATGACGTTTGAGTTTGCGAGTTTTGACTTTGTTGACATTTTGATTTTGTACATATATTTACAACAGGAAGAGATTGTGTACACTGGTGGCACACCTCTTTCCTTCTTCTTCTTCTCTTACACATTACCTTTATGATGCTATTTACAACAGAGCTGTTCTTCAGATGACGATGATGATGATGATTAAGAATATGCCCTCCTCCAGCTTTTACCCCCTCTTCTAAAACTTGCGAATGATTGAGCAGGAAAAGATGGCGTAGATGATGTAGAAGATGGTGAACTAGGGGTAGAGTTCGGAATTCAATGTAGCTTTGGTTAGTCAAATGCTTTGCCCAAATCAAACAGTAAACTCCCCCTACCTTGAAGGTGGAAAACTTGGTCAGTATGCCCAGCGGCCCGATCGTCAGGCCAATGGCGCTGTCCATGTCGAAGCGGGCAATCTGCTCGTAGAAGCCCAGAAGCTTTAGCTTCTCTCTCGCTGAACTAGCACTTCCGGTGACCTTTTCCTGAATCGCCGGCAGCAGCTCGGCGGGTCGGTGAATGAGCTTGTTGATGCGGAGCATCGGCAGCGCCGAAACGAGGCTGGCCACCACCTGGAAGATGGTCAGCGCAAGGACCAGCGCCTGGGGCGTCTTTGCAAAGATGATCCGCGTGGTGATGTAGATGTTGAAGCTTTTTAGAAGATGGAGAGGTTTAGGAGGTTTTGGAAGTTTTAGAAACTTAAGATCACTTACGGAATGTTAAAGAGAACAAAGATGTACAGCTCCCGACTGGCCACCACGTGGTTGTAGGTGTTGATGAACTTGCTCAGAACGGTGTGCCGCGCGCGGATCGCCGACACGTCCGCTGTGAACGCCCCCGCCGCCCCAGCTCCCGCCCCCGCCCCAGCTCTCCAGTTCGTCCCATTTCGAAACTGTTTCAGCTGCCGCAGCAGCACCGCCAGATCTTTGAACACCCGTTTGTACTCGTAGCCGTAGACGCGGTGGATGACGAGGAGGATGAAGATCCCGGTGAACTGATTCTGTATCACCCGCGTGCCCACGGACATCGTCGTGATCCGGTCGACGAAGATGAAGAGGTACTGGTAGGCGTGGTAGTGGCGGCGGTGGCGCATCGCAAAGGAGGTGTAGCTGACGGCGGTGCCCACAATCAGCAGCTCTAGGTGGGTGGGTGGAAATAGCAAAATAGAAATCGAAACAAAATCCAAACCAAAAGCATCGAAAATCGAAACTCAAAAACTTACTATGAAAGACAAAGAAGAGCAAGTTAATTTGCTCCACCTTCAGGATGAGCCTCACCAACTTCCGCTGCTGGTGGCTCTGCTCCAGCTTGCCGTACTGCCCCTTCGAGGTCCGATACTCGGCGTTCATCTTCGCAATGTGCTTCGCATTGCCCACCAGCTGCCCGTAAATTCGAACCACATTTCGACTGCCAAAATCGACCCGATATCGGCTGTTCAGCGTGCTGTTCCAGTAGTTGGTCAGCGTCCCGACGATGATCCGGTACTGCTGCTCAATGATCGCTCGGCAGGTGATGAAGTTTCGCTGGTAGTGAAGCGCAATGGCGTACAGCAGAAGAAAAGAGCTCAACAGAAAAGCGTATCGGTCAAAGTGCGACTTGACGTGCACCGCCTCCATGACCACGTCCAGGCGGAAAAAGGCCGAGGCGGTGGGATCTTCCTCATAAGTCAAGATGAAGCTGCTGATCTGATAGCGGATCGCCATCACCAGGCAGTAACTGTAGAGGAGGTACTCCTTCATGCCAGGCCTGGGCATGACGCCCGCATCGAAGAACGGTGTCCAGCGGGCCCGGGCATTTCGAATAGAAGCCACGAAGAAGATGGACTCGGGGAGGGGAATGAGAAAGCCGATCACCTTCTGGTAGAGGACTGTCAGTAGTTCGAACATTCTTCTGGTGGTGTTTTTCGTTTTCATCGGGCGATTCTAAGGAGAGGAAGAATAAGAGGAAAATAGAAACAAAGAGGATTTGTTTGTTTTAGACGGTGACGTTACTCGTTTCGCCTCGATTCGCTTGGTTGAAAAGTGATTTTTCCGCTCTTGGTACAACCTTTTCCGACAGCTTTTTTTCAATATTTGACAGCAGGTAATCTCATTTGAAACGAAGTGTACTTACCTTCCTCTCCAGGTTAGACAAACATTTCGTTCTTTCTCCCTCCACAATGTTCAGTCCGACCCTGCACCGACTGAATATAAATTCAATAACTTTTGTTCTTTTTTATTATGTTTTATATGTTCTCTTTCTTGCGCTTGGTGCCTTGTGAAATGTGAAAGGCAAATCAATTGGCTCTCTTTTCAAGATCAGCAGGTCGGCAAAGGAAGAAATTAAAAATAACAGTTTTGTTTCACTTTTGTTTTACAGCGTCTTTTGCCAATTTTTTTCCGTTGTTGTTCTTTTCCGTCCAAAAAGACTTGCCAGAGAGAAACTTGCTCGGTGACAAATGCGAGGAAGAAATCAATCAATCAGCTAGCCGAATTGCCAATTCTTTGTGACAAGAATGTTTCACCGAGTTTGCCTGCTTGTAGAAGAACAAAAAGTCGAAAGTTGTTATTGTTCACAAGAGACAATTGGAGCAATTAATTCTTCACATCAGCTGACAGCTGATTCGCCTGAACAAGGGAAAGAAATGCCAACGGAAAGAAACTAGAGAAATGTTGTTCGAGTAGTGTAAAATGCCGTTACCAGTGTTATTTCCAATTACCGGTTTATTGCACCACACACACACTGGTTTGGAACTTGAAACGGTAAAACTTACCGCTACTTTTTCCTGCCTTCTCCGAAAAGAGAAGACCAAACTTGCACTCCCACTCACACACATTCTCTCTTTGTGTTGTGTGTCGTAGTGGCGCCCGTTAATGGTCTTGTTATTGTTCGGTCCGCTTGGTTCGGTTTCATTCTCCTTTTCTTCTCTTCTTCTTCTTCTTCATTTTCAATTTGCCAACAGCGATGATTAATAATTTACAAAGTGGCTCGTCTTCTTCTTCTTCTTCTTGTCTTTTTCTTTTTCAGTTTGTAATAAATGATTTTTTCAAGTGTAAAGTGTAGAGGTAGGGCAGACAGGCAACAAAAAGTCTTGGCGGAATTTGTTTCTCTTGTTTTAGGTGAGCTTGAAAAGCTTTGAAAGCGATTTTTTTTGCCATTTTTTTGCTTTTCTGCAGCGCCGCTCTTTACGAATGGCCCCACAGGCGCGCGCGGGGAAAAAATCTGTGATGTTTTGTTTTGGTCCAAAAACAGAACAGAACAACAGGTTTCTTTCCATGAAACAGAATATTCTGCTATGACCTAAAGGGAATGGAGATTTTTGCCGGCATCGAGCTTATCATCTACTTTGCCGTCTTTATCGGTGCGCAGCTCTACTCGCTGGTGCAGTTCTCCCTGCAGTCGCAAGGTAAGCTCTTTTGTTTTTGTTTTTTAAAGAATTTAAGATCAAGAATTTCTCTCTTCGGCAGACCTCCTAGGTAACCTTTTGCTGGAGTACCCGGACGACTTTTCCGTGGACTGCATCACCTCCTGGAAGTTACCACTGGTCTCGTGGACCTGTCACCAGCCGGTGGACATCAGCGATGACGAGTGGAGGGTGGCAAGGGAGTTTCTGCTTTCGACAAAGGTCGCCTATCTAGTAGGCCATTGCCTTGGTTGGGCGATAGTGAGAAGGATTTCGAAAAGGGTGAGGAGTTTTAACTGTTTGTTTTTCTATTCCTAACGTTGTTCTTTTTTCGGAGTTTTCAGCACCTTCCCCACTTTACCATCCTCTACAGTCTCCTTTGTCTGTTTCGAATTCTTGGTCCTGGCCCTCTACTTCTCATCGCAGCAAACATTTGCCTCTCTTTTATTTTGACATTCATTTTTCAGCATCAAAACCTCTTTCCTTCATCATCATCATTACCATCATCAGTATTACTCCACTATCTCCTCTTCACCGTCTGCCTGGTGGCCAACAATCTCTACCATGCGGATCTGCACAATTTCGAAGTGAACCTCCTCTTCAACCTTTCCGTCAGCTGGCTGAATGCGAAGCTTCTGAGCGCTGCTCTTGATAGTCGAAAAGAACAAAAAGAACTTCTTCTTCTGCAAAAGCTCACCTACCTCCTCTACTACCCCTCCTTCTTCTTCGGGCCCATCTTCCACTTTGAGGACTTTGCCAGGGCTCTGAGCAATGTTGAAAATAGAAACACTCGTCCACTAAAAATTCGCCTCCTTTTGAGAACCTTCTTCTGGGCCCTCGTCTTCGACCTGCTCCTCAAGCGCCTCCTCTACTCCTCGGCCTTTCTAAACTACCCACAGTATCTGAACAGCAGTTCGAACACGATCTCCGCCTGGGCCCTCGCCGGCTTCGGCTTCAGTCTGATGTTGCTCTTCTTCCTCAAGTACCGCGTCCTTTACGGCGTCTCGAAGGCCGTCGCCGAGGAGGTTGATGGCCTAAACAGCAACAAGGTTTTTGCTCAGCCGCCGCAATGTATCGCCCACATGGCCACCACCGCCTACCTCTGGCAGCACTTTGACCAGGGCCTCTACGCCTTTCTCTTCAGGTAGAGCATCTTTTGAAAAAGTTTTTTTGACTTGAAACCTTTACCATTTTTCCCTTTAGATACTTCTACGCGCCCCTAACCGGCGGCAAGGGGGCGCCTCTGTGGCGGCGGGCCCTCGCCAGCTCCGTCTGCTTCGCCGCCATCGCCGCCTGGCACGAGCAGCTCACCTCGCCCTCCATTGCCGTTTGGGTCGCCCTCAACTTCGTCCTCCTCAATGTCGAGCAGGCGGGCCGTTTCCTCAAGACCAGGCTTCTAAAATCGTCAAATTGTTCAACCGAAGCATTTCTCACCCGTTTGGAGTGCCTCGCCGGAGCACCTCACCTTCTCCTCGCCTACCTCTCCAACATTCTCTTTCTCTCCAACACCGAGACGCTGTGGGCGATTCTAGGACGGCTCTTTGAAAGCCCCACCTTTACGGCCACTCTACTGGTCGTCCTCTACGCGGGCTGCCACGTCTGCAAGGCCATCAACAGCAAAAGACGATAATGATCTCAATCTCAATCTCGAATCAACGCACAACTTTTGAATAATAAGATAAGAGCAATCACACTGATTTACACGACAGAAAAGGACCTGCTTATAAGCTTTTGCTAGTCTGTTGATCTAGGATCTAGTGATCCAAAATGTAGGGCGGATTGGAGTAGATCTTCTTCTCGCCGGTGTCGCCGCTGTACGCCCCCTCGTGGATCCACACCGACAGCATGTCCGGCCACAGGTCCTCGATGTACTGCAGGCGGACGCCCAGGTCCTGCAGCGTCGGATTGAGGGGCTTCTCGTCGGAGATGGCCTCCTGAAAAGATGATGTTTAGAAGTCAAGAAGGACAATGTAAACAACTCAAAGCAAACACTTACCCGCTCAATCTTCTCCCAGCTGACCTTCGGGTCGCGGTAGATGAACTTGCTCAGGTAGGAGTAGAGCGTCACCCGAGTGCGAAAGATCGGGTCCCAGCGGATGTTGGTCACCCGGAAGCCGCCATTCTCGGGCACCTTGTTGATGAGCTCCTGCATGAACTCGAGCAACTCGCGGAGCTCGTAGCGGCGCGGCCTGGGTGGGTGGAAATGGGCGGAAAATGGTGAAATGATGAAATTCAGAAATCTAAAATAGAACCCGAAAACTTCGACTTCTAAAATGCGGACACTTACCCGACCGCATCGTACGTTCGCCCCACCGACTCCTCATCGGAGATGGCGTTGACGATGCCCGCCGCCACGTCGGTCATGCACACCGGCGTCTTCGTGATCCCATAGCCGCCATTCGGTACGGCCAACTTGCGGAAGCTGCGCCGGTAGAACTGGCAGTAGTACCAGAGGAAGCGGTCCACGACGCCGTACATCCAGGCGGGCCGGATGATGGTCGCCTCGGGAAACTCCTCCCGCACCGCCAGCTCGCCGTAGTACTTCGTCTTGAGGAAGTTCGAGCCGCCGGAGATGAAGTGCGGCTCCGGTTGTGGGCTGCTGTTTAGCGCCGAGACGTGAATCAGCCGCTTGACGTTGGGCATCTCTCGGGCGATGCGGGCGATGGTCCGCGCGCCCTCCACGTGAATCGACTCCAGGTCGAAGTTGGCGGTGGAGTTGTCGCGGCCGATGAGGTTGATCACCACATTGGAGTGCTTCATCGCCCGCTTGACGGTGTCGGTGTCGCGGAGGGAGAAGGGGACGAAGAGGATCTGGCCGAGGTCGCCGGCGAGCTTCAGCTCCCGCGTCATGTACGGGTCCCCTCGGTACGGGCAGATGACCTGGGTGCCGGTCTTGGCGAGGCCGTTGACCACCGCCCGGGCGAGGTACCCGGTGGCGCCGAAGACGGTGACGGTGAGGCCGCTGTAGCTGGAGCGGCCGCCGGTGCCGCGGCGAAGTTTTTGTACCGTCACATCGGGGAAGGCGTTGTGGCTGACGACTCGGGGGGCAAAGTCGGCCTTCCGTTCTGCTGGAAGGGTGGACAGGGAGCGAAGGTGGTGGAGGGCGAGGCTGGAGGAGGAGGAGGAAGGTTGGCCTAGAGAGAAGATATTTGCAGTTTAGAAATTGGTGATCTTTGAGCTGTTCTACAGACCTTTCAACACGACCGAAGCGGCCGTGGCGGCGGTGCTGCCTCGCAGTAGCATCATCCTGGTGGTGGGGGTGGTGGTAATGGTGGTGATGGTGACCACAAGAGCGGAAGTCCTTGAAGCAGATCTTCAGGAGAAGATTAGAAACGCTTGAAGCAGAAGGCTTCAAGCTTTTTGTTGTGGTGATTTGTTTTGTTGAGAGTTGACTTCTTCTGCAAAGGACGCTGGCCGATTCGATGGTGCGATGGCTAAACAATCGATTGTTTTCCCACATGTTTTGGCAGCCGCAAACACAGTTTCAGTTTCAGCTTCTGTTTCTCTTTGCCCGTCCAAGTGACCTTCTTTTCGGGTTCTATTTTTTCTTCTTGGACATTGCGTCATTATCATCAAGTGGACTACCACCATCACCACCATGACCAGCACACTGATCTTCAGCAGTCGATCTGCTCTGGCGAAGAGCGTTCTCCAGGGATGCGCCGCTCGAAGCTCTCCTTCGACCCTCTTTTCGCCGGCCATCGCCAGCCTCTGGTCGAACCTCAGTCTGGTGCGGTGCCTGGCCGCCGCTCCGGCGCCCCCTGGTCCTGGTGGCTCGAAGATGTTCAAGCGCGACAAGCCGCACATGAACATCGGCACCATTGGCCATGTAGACCACGGGAAGACGACGCTGACGAGCGCCATCACCAAGGTCCTGGCCAAGCAGAAGCTGGCGAAGGTAAAGGAGTACGACGAGATTGACAACGCCCCCGAGGAGAAGAAGCGCGGCATCACCATCAACACGGGTAAGTAGACGAGCACTTTTTCTATTTTCTATTGATTCTATTTACCCATTTCTTTTACCTCTTTAGCTCACGTCGAGTACGAGACGAAGAAGCGCCACTACGCGCACATGGACTGCCCCGGCCACGCCGACTACATCAAGAACATGATCACCGGGGCGAATCAGATGGAGGCGGCCATTCTCGTCGTCGCCGCCACCGACGGCGCCATGCCCCAGACCCGAGAGCACCTCACCCTCGCCCGCCAAATCGGCATCGAGGACATCGCCGTCTTCGTCAACAAAGTGGACGCCGCCGACGAGGAGATGGTCGAGCTGGTGGAGATGGAGATCCGCGAGCTGCTGACCGAGCTCGGCTACGACGGCGACGCCGTCCCGTTCATCAAGGGCTCCGCCCTGGCCGCCATGGAGGAGAAGCGCCCGGAGATCGGCGAGCAGGCCATCCTCAAGCTGATGGAGACGGTGGACACGGCCTTCGCCGACCCGAAACGCGACGTCGACCTGCCCTTCCTGATGCCCGTCGAGCACGTCTACTCGATCCAGGGCCGCGGAACGGTGGTCACGGGGCGGCTGGAGAAGGGCACCGTAAAGAAGAACACCGAGTGCGAGGTAATTGGCTACGGGCGCCAGCACAAATCCGTCATCACCGGCATTGAGATGTTCAAGAAGACGCTGGAGGAGTCGCAGGCGGGCGACAACCTGGGCGCCCTCCTTCGAGGCGTCAAGCGCGACCAGATCCGCCGCGGCATGGCCATCGTCAAGCCAGGGGCGTACCGCCAGGTGGACAACGTCCAGACGGCGATTTACATGCTGAAGAAGGAGGAGGGCGGAAAGCGACTGCCCTTCATGAGCGGCCTGCGCGCCCACTGCTTCAGCAAGACCTGGGACTGCCCGGTGGAGGTCAATGTCGTGGGCAAGGACATGATCATGCCCGGCGAGGACGCCAAGGTGGTGCTCAAGGTGAGTGGGAGTTTCGGGTTTTGTTTTGGGAGTTTGTTGTTTTGGAGTTTGGGTTCGATTTAGTGGGTGGGGTGGGCTATTTCTACCCTTTTTGAGTCGAAATAGCGGACAGATTGGGTGTTTTGTTTTTGGGTTCGATTTTGATTTATTCTTTCTCACTTTAGGTAATGCGCCCGATGGTGATGGAGAAGGGCAGCCGCTTCACCATCCGCGACCAGAAGCAGACCATCATGACCGGCGTGGTCACCGAGCTGCTGCCCGACCTGACCGCGGAGGAGCGCGCCAAGCTGGAAAAGGGCCGCACTCGAAAGGAGCGCGAGGAGATGGAGAAGCGCCTGGCGGAGATTGAGGAGGGCTTCGCCGCCGAGGAGGAGAAGAAGAATGCCTGAAGAGGAGCACATCTTTTGTTGAAGTCATCAGCACCTAAATCACACAATATCTGAAATGAATCGCGTAGAGCCTCTCGCAGGCAGAATTATTTGTACATTATAGTTTCCCTTCTTTTTTACTACTTTTGCCACTAATCTATCCCCGGAGCAAGTCACACGAATACAAATTCGCTCTTGTAGAGACCCAAAGTCAAAGACTCAGCAGTGATGAGTGCGAAGATGCGCTGGAAACCCTCTGAAATTTTAGGCTGTTTCCCATACCTCCACCACCACCACCGCCGCCTTTAATCTCCTGTTCAAGATCGATGCTTTTTATGCTCTCCTTCTTGAGGGACTTCAGCTGCCACCAGGTGATGGCGGGAATGGCCACCTCGAGGAGGAGCATCAGCAGGCGGGCGGTGAAGCGGGGCGTCAGGCTGAAGCCGCCGATGAAGAGGCGGTAGACGAAGCGGGCCAGGAGGAGGACGTCGAGGTTGAAGAGGTTCGCCCAGGCGAGGACGAACATGGCCAGGGGCAAATCTAAAATAGTGGCCAGCAGTTGGGCGGTGCGGAAGAGGCTGAAGGCGGTGAGCAGGGCGAGCAGGGATTTCGGCTGGAAAAAGAGAAGGAGGTTTTTAGAAGGAGGAGTTTAGAAAGAAGTTTTTGTTTACTTTTTTGACAATGTCCTTCGGTAGGTTCTCGTCGAGGTAGTCGGCAAAGAGAAGGACCAACTCAACGAAGATGTGCAGCGAGGACAGGAGAAGGAGGCTGACGAGGAGGATCTTTTTGAGGCTGGAACGGGGTCTTTGGGAAAATGTTTCGGGTTCGATTTTGGTCTTTCTTGTTGACTGGATGGATTCTAGGGAAGAGGAAGAGGATTCCATTTTCTTTTGAGAGGTTTTTAGGATGGGCAATAAAGTGTTTTGATAAGAGTGCTGCTGAAAAAGTGAGCTTGAATTCGAAATGGAGAACAACGTGGTTATGTAAACAAAAAATGGCTAAATGCTAATTAATAATGCTAATCAGAGCTCTACCTCTATCTTTTTTCTTCTCTTTTGCTGCTGCTGTCGCCATGTGAGGTAATCAAGTCAGACTAACTGGCTGGTTATCAGATAAACAAATGCCGAACAGAGAAAAGATGAATCGATGATAATTAGTCAAACCCGACCATTATCTCTTCCTTTGTTGTCTACAGATTATCAATTCATTTTGGTCCTGTGCGTTCACTGACCTGAGAAAGAGCTCTCCTTTTTTCTTCACAGCAAAGTGCTCTCTCCACTTTCCCCTTTTTTGCCGAATATTCTCTTTTCTCTTTTTTCTTTGGTGCAAATTCTGTTCCGGTTTGTGGTGTTTTTCTTTTTCTTCCTCGTCCATTATCGGTATGAGTTATGAGGGTGGCCATTTCTGCTAATGAGCTGTTGGTAAACTGTGGCGGGAGAGAAATGCAAAGAGGTAGGCAATAGGTATGTTTTTGCTAATTAAATTAAAGACCCTGCAGAGAGACAGCGCAGGGCAGTCAGAAAGATGTATGTTACCCTCAGCCCAAAGCAGACTGGTTTGCACTTTATCACTTTGATTGAGGCAGCAGGCCACTTCTTTTTTGCGAACCACGCCCGGCACCAGTGAGGAAAGTAGTGAGTGAAAGATGATGTGTCAACACGACGGGAGAAATATATTGCAACGCTCTGTTGACATAACAGCAAGTTTTTTTCTGGTGGTTCGTTTCATTTTAATATGTTAAGTCAGTCATCGGCGGCAGTTCACCCGAAACAAGCACCTGAAACAGAGCAAAAAGTTTAATCTTGTTTTTAATTTTTAGACTTTTGTCTTTTGTCCTTTTCTGAATCAGTTCCTTTGATTTTGAAGCTTCTTGAATCTACTCACGACTTGAAATGAAATCTGAAGAGAAGAGCGGCTCTGAAGAAGAGGAAGAGGAAAGTGGTTCGCCCACGAAAAAGGAAAAGTTGACATCGACCATCAGCGTTGAAAGCAGTCCTGGTGCTGGTCCTGGAGCCGCTGAGCTCGTCCGCCTCTCCTCCCGCGGCGCCGGCTCCCGCCGGGGCTCCTCCTCGACCTTCCTCACCACCGACGACCAGGTGGTGGTGATCAGCTTCGACAACAAGGGCCGCCGACTGTCCTCCATCTGCACCGCCTCTTCTTATGATCAGTAAGATGATGATTTTTTTTCTGAGAAGAACAAATCCTTTGTTTACCTTTCCTTCTCGCCACTATTTACACCCAACCCTCTTTCCCTCCAAAATCTCCCCTGCTCATCTGTGGTATCACCGAATCTTATCTCAATCATCTTATTAATTTCTTTTCAAGGGACACGCAAATCTCCTCGCTAAATGAAGAGCAGGCCACCGAAGAGGAGATCGGCGAGACGATCCGCCACCACAAGGCGATCATCGCCAACATGAAGGAGCAGACGATTCCGCTGTCGCGGAAGCTGCGCGTCCTCCAACGATCGAAAGGCTTCATCAAACGGCACCGAGAGCTAGGCGAGCTGAAGCAGAGCAAACAGCCGAAGGACCTGCTGGCGAGGTACTCCGTCTACATGGAACGGGTAGTGAAGAGCAAAAAAGTGGAGTTCACAAAGTTCTAAAAAGCTGTATTTCAATCCTAGTCCATCAATCGCCTGAGACGTGAGCTGGCCAATCTGATGGTGGTGATCACCCCCTGGGAGATGCGCATCAAGAAGATTGAGAGTCACTTTGGCTCCGGCGTCGCCTCCTACTTCGTCTTCCTCCGCTGGGTCTTCTGGGTCAACCTCTTCATCAGCGTCTTCATCTGCTGCTTCCTCATGGTGCCCGAGGTGAGTAAAAGGAGATTTTTTTAGAACTAAGAAAAACCTTAATTAAATCTTTGAAATAGATCCTCCGAGGTGACCAGGACCAGACGGGAATGCGCAAGGAGCGGGAGAGCGACGATGACTCGCTCTCCCTGTCGGCCATTTGGGAGTTTGAGGTACTGAGAATCGTCTTCTTCTTCAAAAAACTTCGAAATTCTCAGACGTTTCCGTTTCTTCCCCACAGGGCTACCTGAAGTACTCGCCCATCTTCTACGGGTACTACAGCAAGTCGGAGATGACCTCCGGTGGCTATCGGCTGCCGTTGGCCTACTTTCTCACCACCCTCTGCCTCTATATGTTCAGCTTTTTCTGCGTTTTGAGAAAGTGAGTTTTTCATTTATCATTTTTCGTTTCGATTTCTATTTCCACCTTACTGATTTTTTCCAGGATGGCCCAAAACGCCCGCCTAAGCCGCGTGGGCAGTCGCAAGGACGACGAGTCGTCCGCCTTCTGCTTCAAGATCTTCACCGGCTGGGACTACATGATCGGCAACTCGGAGACGGCCTGCAACAAGGTGGCCTCGCTGGTGATGAGCCTCAAGGAGGCCATTCTCGAGGAGAAGGAGCGGAAGAAGGAGAGGACCAGCTGGCGGCGCATCTGCCTGCTCATCTGCACCAACGTCTGGTAAGTGGATGAAAAAGGAGTTCAAAGTTTTAACTTTTTCACCCTTCTAAAGCGTCCTCGCCCTGCTCGCCTCCTCCGCCTACGCCGTGGTGCTCGTCTTTGAGCGCTCTCAGGAGATTGAAAATAACGAGGTGGTAAACCCCAGTTGGCTGCGGGCAAATGAGAACTCGCTCGTCGTCTCCGCCATTGGAAACCTCTACCCGAACCTTTTCGATTTTATCGGCAGCCTGGAGAACTACCACCCACGGATTGCCCTTCGCTGGCAGCTGGGACGGTGAGTTTACAAAGCCCACCAGATTCGGGTGTTTTGGCTAAAACAAAATGTTTTTTTTCTAGCATTCTCGTGCTGAACATTCTCAACCTGTACACGCTGATGCTGTCGCTCTTTAACAAAGTCGATAAGAAGGTAAGGGCTCGTTTATGAAGTTTTGATAATCTGTTGTTGATAAGATCATTTGTTTAGACCGCCGAGCTGAAGATGATCAAGGCGAACATCTCCCTCTGGCGGCAGCAGGTGGACGTAATGGCGCTGGCCACTGTGGCCACCTTCCACCGAATCAAGCGGGATGGTCGAGAAGGTAAGAGCTTTTAACTTGCAATATTTGATAAAATCTTTTTTTGCTACAGAGTACGCTGAGTACGAGGACAGTGGAAACAACGGCGATCCCGAACTCCTCTTTCCCCCGGCAATCATCTACGATCCCTATGAGGAGGCGGTCAACAAGATGAGTGGTTCTACAAAGGAAGAGGAAGAGGTTGTGGATGAGATCTTGGTCACTGAAGAGAGCTTCTCAACGACATTTCCTTCCACTTCCTCTTCATTTTGGATATCGACGACGCCCCCAAACGGAAACAGTGGTGATGGAGGTGGTGGCGGTGACCCAACCAACCGATCATCCCTTTTGCCATCTCAAGTGAATTTTTCAAGCACCGCTTTCACCAATCTGACAACCGTTTCCAGCCTTGAACTACCTAAAACTGCTGTGAGTTCTAAAAACAGCAGCAGCAGCACACGAAAGCCCAAAAAAACTTCTTCTTTTTCGTCCACCAAACCTCGATCCCGCCTCAAAATCGGCGCCATCACCACCACCACGGAAGCGGTCACCGAAACCTTTCTATCAACTGAATCTTCCTTAATCAGCTGCCAGAACACCACCGAATACGTGATCACCGACGAGGACCTCCTCGCCCTGAACTCCACCATCAAGGACCGCCTGCGGAAACTCTGCTGGGAGACCAGCTTCGGCCAGGACCTGATCAAGCTGACGGTGATGGAGTTTGTCGTCCTGGTCGCTTCCACCTTGGTCGGTGACTTCTTCCGCGCCCTCTTCGTCCGCTACTGCGCCTGCTGCTGCTGCTGGGACCTGGAGAAGGGCTGGCCCGGCTACGGGGACTTTAAGATTGCGGAGAACATTCTCCACCTGGTCAACAATCAGGGCAATGTTTGGCTGGGCATGTTCTTCTGCCCTGGTTTACCAGCTCTCAATACGATAAAGCTTGCTCTGTTGATGTACTTTCGCAGCTGGGCGCTGCTCACCTGCAACATTCCCCACGAGACGGTCTTCAAGGCGAGCCGCAGCAACAACTTCTACTACCTCCTACTGCTCTTTATGCTCTTTCTCTGCACACTTCCGGTCAGCTATGCGGTGGTCTGGCTGCAGCCGAGCTGGCACTGCGGCCCCTTTAGCGACTTTCCAAGGATTTACAAGATACTGAGCGGCTATGTGAGCTCAAAGTTGAACAGTACCTTCAACAAGGTCCTAGACTACCTGACCTCGCCGGGGGCGGTGCTGCCCCTGCTGCTCCTGCTGATTCTCTTTATTTACTACCTCCTGTCGACGGTCAGTTCGATGAAGGAGGCGAATCGGGAGCTGAAGGCGCAGCTGCGCAAGGACAAGGACAGCTCGGAGGCGAATAATTTTGGGTGAGTGCTGTTTTGGAGTTTAGAATTGGGAGTTTTTTAATTTTTGTTTATGGTTTTAGGTTAGAGATGGGCGTCGGTCCTGCTACCCAAATCAGTCCGCCCACCAATGCAAAGCACGTCCGAATTCAGGAGCACACGAGCAGTGCTGCTGATCAGTTGGTGAGCGCTCATAATGATAAGACACATCTTTTGGAGAACTCCAGTGCTGCTGCTGATGCAAACTGATAAGTGAGCATCACCACCAAAAGATTTTGATCGAACTTCGAACTACACACACTTTCAGAAACCTTCAAAAGTGACTCGTAGCACACGCACGTTTTCTTATCACTCAACCTGTCTTTTCCATCGCAACAAGTCCAAGTTCATTTATCAAGCACTTTCTCCTCTCTTATCAGCAACTCTTTCAAGCAAACAGCAGCCATGAACGAGGAGAACAAGCCCCGAACCACTATGTACGGTTTCACCTCGCTCTACCGCGACATGGTGAAGACCAACCTGGGCAAGTCGAAGTTCGCCTGGCCGGTGCTCGCCCTCACCGGTTTTGCCAGCTGCATGGCCGTCGGCGCCGTGGTCCACTTCCTCCGCGGCCCCGGAAACACGCTCACCCTCAAGGGCGAGAACTACAACCACTTTGAGGAGTACGACCACCGCCAGTACAAGCTCTATCCCTCAAAGGCAGTGGACTACAACACCTACCAGCACCCGCGACCTCGCTTCTGAAAGAGTGGTCTTTTTGTACGGCTTGAAAACCGTCTACTGTACAAATGTGCTGTACACATTTTAGATTTTTTTGCAAGTTTTAGCTCTTTTTATTTTTTCCTTTTTCAGCTCTTTTCAGCACGAACCTCTCTCTTTACATCTTTAGGGAGCATTTATTCTGAAGATCAAGTTTTGGTTTGCTTGATTTTGATTGATTAAATGTTGTACTCTCTTTTTATTAGGCCTTTAGTAGTAATGTGTTAGTAAAGGCTCTACACAGCCATTTTTATTTTTATTTGGTCAGGAAAGCATAGTAGGTAAAAAATAATAAAATGCGCAACTTACTTTTGTTCAGACAAGACTGGTACAACAGAAAAAAATTGTTGCTGTTACTGGTACAAAAAATTAATCAGTTTTCAGCCCCAACACCGTTTAGATAGCATTGTAGATGCCAATGAGGTGGAGGACATTGTAGCCGAGGAAGAAGGCGGGCAGCACCAGGCGGGCGCCACCATCGACCAGCTCCGCCCACCTCGGCCGGTCGCCCGTCTTGGGGCAGCTGAAGAGGGCGACGGCGGAAACGGAAGCCAGCGCCAAAAAAGAAGTAAAGTTGGCCACCAGCAGGTAGCAGTCCAGCGTGTTCAGGTAGCTGATGTTCGCCGGCGACATGAAGTGGCGCCCGGCGTGGGCGATGCCGGCGAGGAAGACCAGAGCGGAAAAAAGCACCCTCAGCAGGTCGTTTCCGGTGGAGCTCTTCGTGGCGTTCACTAATGCCAGCGGGACAAAGGAGACGAGAACGAGGGCCAGGGCGGGCATGTACGCGTTCATGATCACCTTCCCCGCGGATCGGGCAAACTTCATCTCCAAGATGAGGCGGCTGTAAGTTCCCGTCGAGAGCGTCTCCGTTTTGGTGCCGAAACTGAGGCCGAGAATTCGGTAGTCGGGCAGTGCTAGGCCCGGTTGCATGGAGCCGCCGCTGTTGACGGGAGATTTCCACTCGTAGACGATGTCGGCGGCGGAGTAGCCGTCTGAGTGGAAATAGTGAAAAAAAGTTTGAGAGTTTATTTAGGAGTTTAAAACGGAAGTTTTTTAGCAGTTGGTACTTACAACTTTCCATCTCCAGCGTGCAGACGTTAGTATCGAAGGGGTAGTACTGCAGATTCATCGGACAGCTGGCGGTGACCTTGAGGCTAAAAAGTTTAAAAAGTTAAAATTTAAAAGTTTTAATCTTTTAAAATTTGTTTACAGTTTCGACGTGTACACCTCGCCATTGGAGCCAACTCGAATAAATCGAGCATCCTGCTCGACCAGGGCAAAATCGTTCGCCGAGTGGTGTTTTGCGTTTGCGAAGAAGGTGTCCGGCGTCCAAATTTGGTCCGCCAGGTGGCCCCCGGCCGCGAGGATGCTGCTCATGCCGCCAAACTTGGAGGGCGAGTAGGCCAGTCGGTGGTCGACCCACTGGTGGCGGAAGTACAGCTGGAAGGTGAAGTCCATTGAGGAGGTGGAGATGGAGTCGATGCCGAGGACGTAGAGGGAGACGTTCACAGTGGTGGGAGGGCCTGGGAAAATTAGGATGAGGAGTTCAGGAATTTATTTAGGTTTTTGGGAGTTTTTTGGGAGTTTTACCGCCATAGTTGGGTCGCAGCGCTTTGCTGTAGTTCTGCGGAATCAGCGAGTTGAGCAGATTGATGCCGTTGTTTTCCGCCCAGGAGTTGCCGCTACCCAAGGTGTAGGCAGTGGTGGCTCTAAGATTTTAAATTTTTCAAAATTAGAATTTTGTAGATTTTAAAGTATCGCTTACAGGAGGAAAAAGTGAAGCCAAAGACCGTTGCGCATTTTTTGTTTATTTTTGCTGGCTGTTTGGGAGCACTGTGTCTGGGTGTGTAGTTTGACTGTCTGTATTTATTTATACACTTCACTTCTTTTCTCTTCTTTGAGAGCAAAAAGTTCTCAATTACATCCATCTTCCATCATCTTCTTTTCTGACGTCCTTGGATTGAGCGACCAATTGACGGAGATTAACACTAAAGGTTGCAACCACTGACGCTAGCCTGACTTTAATTAAATTAAGTCAATTGATTTCAGCAAAATAACAACAAAATAAAAAGGAAACATAAAAAACATGAGCTTTTGTGAGGGGGGTAACCAGAATGCAAGGGAAGCAAAAATGACGACAACTGTTATTTAAGTTTTAGTGCAACTTTCTTTTTTTTGTGAAGAAAGAAAAGTTTCAGTAGTCTATTGAAAACGCAAGTGCAAGCGGAAACAGTAAATTACTTAGTGATTTTTGACGTGTGTGCGTTTGAAGAAAAAAAATCTGCCACCACAAATGAGTCAGATCAGTGAAATCAGATGTGCAACTGTTTGATAGAGAAAAAATCGATCATCAAATTGTTGCACTAAATAAATGCACCAACTTTTGAGTAATTTTTGTTTCTTGTTGCAGTTACTGAACACACTAGCAATTGAAAACAAAAACTAAAATTGCAGATTTAAAAAATGTAAAGTAACGGCAGGTAGCCGTGTGTTGTGGCTGTACGTAACGTCATCTGTGAACGGGTGCCGCGGCGAGAGAACGGCACGTGCATTGTAAATAAACATCACTTCCATCCCACCTAGCTAAGCACGTGCACCACGNCGGGTGTTATTGGTGGCAACGTAATTCGAACTCTAACCCAAATCTGATCATCTGAGCACCATCCGAACACCATCCGAACACCATTCGAACACTATCCGAACATGACCGACGCAGAAAGACGCAGCAAGGCAGCCGCCCGTCTGGGCAAGACCATCGAGGA